ACTTGTCGCTCTTCCTGGTTTGTCCGACTGGTCCGTCGGTCGCTGCTTATTAAATGGGTCGGACGACCAGGTATGCTTGCTTGCTTTTCTCTTCAGCAGTTGCCCCGGCTGGCACTAATTGAGATAACAGGAACGCTATTATTCGCTTAACTCCCGACGAAGGCGGGAAACGCCCTCAGTCGCGCCTTCTCTCGGCCGGTCTACCCGCCGACACCACTCTTGTGGCCCAGTGCCGCTGACACGGGCAAAGCTTGGCAAATAAGGGACAGGATTTTATACCTCATTCTCCATATCTGGGTACGCTTCGTTGTTTCTTGTCCACTGCGGGTCAGTGTAGTTTGGCTGGCTCTTGGTTGTCTCTACTCGCTACCTTAGCGAAGAGACGTTAAATGGTATTGAGAGAGAGAGACTGATTTGCGCGGATGCTCGGTATGTTGGAGTTCACTTGCTGTCGTACCACCGTTGTTGCGAGCATTTAAGTCTCTGTAATTACAAAGAGGGCCGAGCGACTTAAGCCAGCTAACAACCTACAAGATGTAACAATGATGACATAACAAACTAAACAACAACAACGACTTAAATAGTTATCCAGAGCCTAGGCGGCGCCGGAAGGTCGTACATTATCCGTATCTCAAATGATCGTCCACGAGTAAAGTTAACGACTTAACAACTAACAAGAAAACCTAACATGCCCCCCTGCTTAGCACAAGCATCGGCCTCGATGCGATCAAAAGTACAAAGTATTCTAAGTCGTGCGCCACTCCGATTCCCTGAACGATATCGGTACCAGGCTAACGAGGGGAAGGCAAAAGGGAACCGGAGTCAAGGCAAAACCTTCCCCGCACTGGATACCGGCCTAAATAAGGCGCACGACACCTATACTTGCCGGTCTGAGGAACCGGTATATATCCCAACGAACGTGTCCAAAACATCCACAAAGAGTACGCAAACCAAAAGCCTAAGGCACGGAAAGCAAACTCGGTGGATGACAAAAGAACGCAAGAGAACGCGAAAATACACAACATGCAACACGCAATACCCCGAAAAAAACAGAAGTCAAGACACGACACGCGCAAAACTGAGGCGAAATAACCCAAACTGAAACACACAGGACACGAGTCACACACAACACACATCCTATGCGTAGCGCTAGGTTGTCACGAAGTGCACTATCCTCGGGGC